ACCCAGAGTTTTTATATTGTGCAATGTAATATACTATACTCCTACCAAATTGTGCAAAAAAACTCTTCCATTACTGAGACATCCAATCTAACCATTAACTTCTAATGTACTTTTCACGTTCATAATTCATTGGACAAAAATACTCTTATTTAAAATGGGCAAAATGCACTTTATCCCTTTGTATGTTTGGTCATATGCAATTTAGATCCTAATATTTTTAATTATGCCATGTGACCCCTATACACATCAGAAGCATATGGGGAGTTTATAGTCAAATTGGATATATGAGCAATGAAAGAGTTTCTTCACACAATTTGAAACGTATAACGCATTGTTACCTGTACAAAATGTTCTTAGCTTATAAGGAAGCATGGCAGCAGTATGCAGTCAGCAAGCATTACTAGTTAATTTACAAATTCTAAAACATAAAAAAAAATAATTAAAAAACAAAATGGTAACAAAGGTAATTTATTTATATAAACAAATAATTACCTGTACAAAATATTCTTAACCTATAAGGAAGCATAGAACCAATATGCAGTTAGTTCACCGAAGAAAAAAAATGCACCTATTACATGTCATCAAAGTGTGACATTGCCAAAAAATTGCATTTGAACACAAAACACTGCACGAAAGGCAATAAATACAAAAAGTTAATGTCAACAAAAAATAAGTCCTAAATGTATTACGTAGGGCAACCTCTGGAACGTGTCTGGATGAAATGATATGATAAAGTGCGATACTGATTTGACGGATTCAATAGCAACTACAATAGTAAGGGTATGAATGGAATGAATTTAGTCTGGAAATGCTTTATTAAGCATGATCTTATGAATGAGAAAAAGGATAACTCTGAGAATGACTTTAAGTGTCGAATATGGATTGAATCTAGTGTGAATAATTACAGAGATACACTAGGGGTATAGAGTCCGGAGACGATGAAAATCTGGGAGAAATGTAGAGTGGTGAGCGACATTCGCGTATATGTACACACTCTTTCTGATAGCGAATGCGTCACATGGCCTTACACTCGTTTCCTGACTATACCTTTGCTAAGGGGTCCGACTATTGTATACATTGTATCCGTGTGTATAGGCTAACTAATGACTATTTACCTAGTTGAGTAAGACCTCAAGAAATGCTAGAGGTATCGATATCTGTGATCACAGTATATTGGGAGTGCGTATTAAAATGAGAGAATGAATAATGTATAATAAATTATTGTGTTGTGCATATATGAATGTGTTTACAATATGAATAAGTGTGAAAATTGAATATATTTTCTTTATATTAAAAATTATGATTTTGTAATATAATAATTTATAAATGATAGAATAAACGCTCATCCTTACTAATATTTTTAAAAAAACAAGATGATAGAGCCTCAAGAAAGAGTTAGACTACTAGAGAGTTCAATATATAATAGGCTTAAGTATGTATTTAATGAATATTAAAGGTTATGTTATGTTAAGTTTGTTGTTCTTATTGAAGATGTACTTAGGACTTTTGTAATATTAGAGATGGATTTCTTTTACAATATCCCTTTTGATTTTCCTAGGAATAGAATACACTAGACCCTATGTATCTATATTTATAGTGGTAGTGTTAGAACTCTGGCAGCCCTCACTTATCTATTTACATATTATGACCACTACTATCTCAGAAGACCAACTAGATGGACCTTTGGGTGAGTGACTGGCACAGAGGTTACAGTTAATTCAGGCGATCGTTATCTTAGATCAGATAATGATCTGGATTCTGAAGATTTGCTGAGATAGAGAGCTGACATGAAATCGACTAGTATCGAGTTCTTAGGGTTGGGATGTATTTTTGGGGACTGTTCTGGAACTTAAATCTTCATATATGTTATGATTATTTTGGTTATGTAAATATTATTTTAAGTCCCATATATTATGACAAATAATTTGTAAATTATTATACATGAAATATGAAATGCATGTTCAGCTTTTCAAATTGGAAATTTGATTATGGTTTATTACAATTTTTTTAAAATGTATTATGGCTTCCATTAATATTGCATGTGCAGGGAAATTTTGTTTACAACAAACCCATTTATAAAGTAACTTTTATTAACTTGTTATAATGAAGATTTATCATATGCAAAAATGTCATTTTATCCTAATTAATAATAAAGAATGCAATTTTCATATTTTAAAATTTTAAGGTGTTACAATAACTTATCAAAATGCTACCATGCAACACTTGTCTTTCTAGATCCACTAGCATTGACTTTTCTTTTTCTAATGTTACTCTTAGGCAGCTCAATATTAGTAATTAGTTGATCAAGAATATTAGTAGGCTAAACAATGTCACCAATACTTGTTGCATTTGTAGTGCTAGTAGGAATTGTAGTCGTTTGATATATATTTTTCAGTGTTATGAAAGAACTATACAACTAGGTTTAAATTTATGTCTTAGCCAATTTCTTGGACCAATTTAAAATTATATGAAACAGAATTAAAAAGGCTTCATTTTTTTCTCTTTAAATATTTTTTCTTTCATTAAATATTAATTTTCTATTTAAAATTTTTTAAGTCATGTTTATAAATTAAATAACTAAAAATTTAATTATTTAAATTTATTTCTTCATTTTATGATACAATTTATTTTTTTTACAAAATTGGTGTATAATTTACATTACCTCCAATTATCTAAAAAATCATAAAGAATTTATGTATATAAATCTTTAAATTTAAGTATAAATTCAAATATTTCATTTATAAATTAAAAAATATTTTTTAAATTATTCATTTATTTCTAACAATTTGTAACATAGAAGTGAGATCTTTCTTCACCTTCTGTATTATTTATCATAGAATACATGTGTAACTACGTTATCTTGTATTTAAGCATTATAATCTTATAAAAATAATTTAAATCTTAAAATAAATTCTCTTTTACTAAAACTTAAATTAACCAACCAATTCCATATTTTTTATGATAGAACTAACTGCTTTGAGTTGTCCATTGCACTTGAAGATTTGTAGAAGCAGAAATTAGACTTGTCAAGTTAAAATAATTTTTAAAATAATTTTTTTCCTAAGATACCAATTAATATTTCAATAAATAAATTTTCTTCATTTAAATAGTAATAATTATTATTTAGGGTTTAGATAAATACTTTTCAAATTTATAAAAAATTTGTTCAATTAATTTAAGATAACTGTTATTTAAACGAATGATATAAGATATTAATACATTCTCTACACATAAGCCACTTCCAAACTCATTTTTAGTTTCAAATATCATATTATTTTTAAAAAATTCAATATTTTTTTAATAAATTTTGATGGTAACTCATCTAATTTTTAAAAAATATTTTTGTTAAAGTTTTCACTGTCTTGTTGCGACATAATTCTTATCTAAAACATGTTTAATGGAGAGAAAAAAAATAATATCTAGATAATAGATACTTATGGCACATGATGAAGAGAATATCTATGTTCCTAGAATAATGATGTATTTTCTAGATTTTTAAAGTTAATAATAACAGAATAGAATAGAAAGATCAATCATAATAATAAGTTATGAGATATAATGTAAACATAATACATAATTATAATCTAAATCTAATTTAGTAATTCAATCATTATATGACACACGAGACAAGTGTTTATTGGGTTAAAAGTTAAACAACTCTTCAAAAGGTAAGGGATGTCCTCACAAATAAGAATGTTATTTCTTATTTAACCCCTTAATTTATAATTTCTTCCCCTTCCTTACCTTGATTGAAGGGATGTGGATAGTGGGCTCTTTCCCCTCCTTTCCATGTCCGTAGCATTTTTTTAAATAATTTTCAAAAGAATGTTGATCTTGGTGGTGGAGTAGAGTGGGGCTTCAAGAAATCTCAGGGAAGCTGCTTCTTGTATGAAGTCACGATCTTTCCTATTTATAACAAAATTCTCGGAGTGTGAGGCAAGCTTTTTGCCACGTAATCATCATGGGTTTCAAACTCTTCTTCCAATTTTGCTTAATCCTAAAGAGGCTTATTTTTTTAGGTTTTAGGTGGTTACTTCATCAAGTACCTCAATTCAGTTACATGTTCATATTTACTCTAATCATATTTCTTTCCTTAACTAGTAATTGAATTCTAATTTTATAGTCATGTATCTATCTAATTTACAACATTCTTATAATATTTTTTTCTATTAATTAAGATTTACTTGTTATTTTGTGTTCTTATTATCTCCTATTCTATGATTAATGCTATTTTAAATATTAATTTTTCTTTTATAACAACTTGAAAGAATACTTAACATTAAGATCTTACTAAGTTACTGTCAACAGATCACGGGATTATTTTTTATGAATTTAATAAACTTTATCAACATGCATATTATGTAAATAAAATAAATTAATAATTAATATTTATGGCAGTGATACATGAGAGAAATTAAAGTATCATTTAATACACTTGTTCCAATAAACGAAATAGATCAGAAAATGGAAGACTTAGTGATTTATAAGTAACTTCTAAGTTACATTTGAAGAATAGCTATATAAATTTACTCAAAGTCAATATATATTGTTGTCCTTTATATATATTTTTTAGCATAATTAAGTTTAGGTGGTGGTGTCATTGAATGCATTTTTATTCGTTATAGATTTTCCGTGTTGAGTAGAGCTAATGTAATCGGCAATAAAATAACTTATTGTGTTTATATTACATAAATAAATTACTTTTTTAGGATAAAATTAAAAAAACCATATATAGTAATGTATAATAGTTAATTTTGTATTTAAAATAATTTATTATTAAAAATAAATGATAAAAGTTAATTAAAAAATAAAGCGACACCTTTTAATCATAAAGTTCAAATTTTCACTTATCTGAAACAAGTTATTTTTTGTATATATATAAGCTAATTTGGTAAAAATGACCAAATAAAATTGAATAGTATTTTTTACAATTTGTTTTTTCAAATAATCAACCAAAATAATTCAATTTAAATAGGCACTAATAATGTCCGAGTGTCTTGCTGCCCCAATAGTCTTGCAGTAATCTAATCTGATTACGAGTTTACTTTTAAACAAAATAAAAGAACCAATAATATGTAGGACAAACAAATATGACATGGAAGTACATCCATGGGTAAATTCAATATCATGCAATTATGCCAAAGGTGCATTCCTTCACCGAACTAGCAGCAAAATGAAATATTGGTAACCTATAAATAAAACAAGCAACTCAAAATAGCAAGAATCACCACGACAACGCCAAAGACAATTAATCCTAGCTTATGATTCCCCTTGCAGAATCACGGTAACCGATGATAAAAGCAACCTATTTGCATCACCAATTTAGGTACTGTCTGAATCAGGCTTCCTTGCCAAGAAGAAGTACAACGGTGTGAAAATCTCTCTCCTGGAAAAGTAACATAAACAAGTCATGTGTTAGAGTCCTCTTGTTGAGAAAACTTTCTTTCAATCAGTGTTCGTTAATCTTTGCATTTATTAATCAGCATTTCATTGAGTAGAAACCTTCAGGTTCAAAAGTTGCTATATTGGTGAGAACTGTAAATGTTGCTGAAAGAATCCTCAGTTCAACTTAGATAAAAAATTATATCCATACATTTCAGATGCAGCTAGAAAAGTGATGGATAAAATGGAAAACTTACTTTCCTCCTTCAACGAGTCCCTCTGCAGCCTTCTCTAGGAAATCTTGAACTCTTTGACTGCCCTTTGGAGCAAGTCCAACATACTCCAGAACCTTGACCTACGAATATAAATTCATAGCCCCCCACCCGACCAATATTGAATGGGTAATAAAAGAATGAATCTTAAAATTCTCAACAACTCAACCAAATTACAAAACATTTCTGTAAGGAACCATACCCAAGAGATACCTCAGAAATAAATTTACAGATATATATTCAATCGCAATACCATGTTTTTGGTGAAAAGTCGTCCCACAGCGGTTAGACGGAAGCTACTCAGTGAGAAATGACTTTTGTCTAAAGGCATGTACCAAGGAAGAGCAGAGTCCACTGCTAGATCTTTCTCCCATATTACCTTCATACAAAGAAGGAAAGAATCTCCTTTAGTCAATTAGGTTCATCCCTTAGAATTTAGATAACCAAGAACATTACTAGCGAAAGGTGACAACTAATAAGAAATTGATGTTCACCTCAAAACCTGCTTGCTTCAGAGCTTCAAGACACTTAGTGGTCAATCTAATATCGGGAAGCCCATCACCAATCTCAATTTCTGCCTGTAGAAAGGAATTTTATCTATTGAATTACAAACTATAAAGAGGCTTAAAGAAAATTAATAGATTAAACCCAATCTAAATTCAATACGTACACCTCTATATCATCATACCTTGATTTTTTGGTGCTCTGGATTATGGGGATCAAAAGAATCGGTCATGCACCATTCATAAGCAGCAAAATATTGACCAGGCTTTAACACTCTAAAAATTTCTTTATAGCATCCATACTATCCATATTTCCATGGCAGGGAAAATAAGTGTCAGAATATAAATTATACTCACCATTTTAAAGATTCACAATTAACACACGTACTTCATGCTATTATTCATGGCCACATTGAAATTAGCCCATAAAATTTAATAATTTATGGGTGAATGTGTACATAGAAATTAGTAATAGGGAAAATCAGTAAGCATGATAAATCAATTAGAATAGGCAAAACTGTCACATACAGCATCTGGTGCATGGCAGGTAGCTTCAATCGCATACACTGCATCAAAACTATTGTCTGGGAATGGCATTTTCATGAAGTCAGCCTGCATTATCAAATATATCAGCTATAATTTCAAATCGATATCACAAAAAACACTCTCTTGAACATTTTGATTTTACGCTTTTCAGAATACAAAATAAGCTCATTCCAACACTCTAAATTATATATATCCAATTTAACATTTATAACTGGAGTAGAATAATTATGTCCCAACACTCAAAATAAGATCCCAACTTTATAAGCTAATACCAATACTCTAAATAATATATCCCAACACTAAATATTGGACCAATATATGCTGAAATAGAAGGCTTCCTATTCACAACTAAAGGGAAATAATTGATTTAAAAAAATCAACCTTTACAAAGTTGCAAGTCTTGTCCACTCCAGCAATACGATTGAGTTCCTGTTAATTAGCAAAAATCTGTTAGTGATCAAAGTATGTAGAATTTTGTTAAGTACTATCATCTATTATAAAAAATATGCAGATTCCCAATAATTCCTTCATAGAAAAGGATTTTACAAATTATCTAACAGAAAATTTAACATGAGGGACTTTGTATATTAAATTAATACAAGATGACTGTAGTAAATACATTAAATACATATTAAAGCTTAAACATGCATCAATATTATGCAAGAGTAAACAACATTACCAACAGCAATACCTATAAATAACTAGATATGATTGAACTAGGAGGTCAAAGTAGCTTGGTCAATGCCTGACAATTTGCATTTGTCAATGCACTTAATTTCATAACTCTTACCTTTCCCCTTGTTATCTGGTACTCATTGTTATTCAACCCTGTAATTGACGTTGAGCTGCGCAAATAACAATTGATGATTTTCGTTAGCCAGAACAGGTACAATGGGTAAAAGGCATGGGAAGGAGGAAGCCTAAGGAAGTCCTGTTTTACCTGAATCGACAAATTTCTCTTAAAGGTCCCCCAATTCCACAACCAACATCCAAAACCTAAAACAAATTATGAAGGCTCATGAAATTTTAATAAATAAAATACAGTAAACCATATATATGTTTGCTACTTTGTTATATTGAACATAAAAACCTTGTGCCCAGGCTTGAGGCCAAGTTGTAAAGCAAGGAAATGCTCATGTCGCTTGATGCTCTCGCGAAGAGATTCCGCTTTCCATCTGCATGAGAAAAAAATTATCAGCATGATCAAAATGAATGAAAATTCTTCAATTTTTAAGCGCAAAAGCAAATGGAGACCTGGGTGCAAAATGGAAAGATTCTCCCCAGCCGAACTCATAAAAGCTGGTAACAAGATCATAGTATTTATTAACCTGAAACAACACGCAGATCATATCATATTCATTAATAATTAAAAAAAAATAGATATTATTAGTAAATTGTAAAGAATGAAAAAGTTTCTTGAAAAACAAAATTTTCGTGTTTGCATCTTCTAGGATTAGAGTCATTTGTGTTTTCCAGGAAAAAGAAAAACTGCTTCCCATTTTGAAAAAGAGAGAACATAATAAAAACCATAAAGAATAAGGCAAGGTATATAGTATGCATCTGACCGAAAGGTTAGTGCTGTATAAGTTAACTTGTAGGTGAATTAAAAAAACTGCTACAATAATATCTCACCATATCACTATAATTAGCTTTCCTCTCTTCCTCTTGACCTCCATAGCAAACATGATACTTCTCATACCTAAGGCATAAGATCAATACATTATATAAAATCTCATATTAAGCATTGTTATTATGTAAATTAACACCCATAATTTTTGTTTTACGACAAACTCATATTCTTTAATGGTAATCTTTGTGTTTTTTAAGCCCAAAATACAGCATCATATCATGATTATAATAAATAAAATACAAAAACACGATTACTTGCGCACATATACATGAATAGCCTATACAACATATTTTATTATTTTTATAGCATCATCAATTTAAGTGTGGAGCCAATTAACATCTAATTGTAATCCACAGTAGTAAAATTTCCTTAGTCCTACAAATTAAAGTTGTAGCTATTCATTATTCCTAAGTTGAATAAAAATTATGAAATAGACCCAAGCTTACAAAATTTGAGATTTCAGGAACAGATGTCAGATTAACTCAAGGTAAAATTCTCAGTTAATTGACTTACATTTTCAGCAAGACCTTTCGGAGCCAAATAAAAAATAATGAGCCCCAGAATAAAAATAGCAAATTCGTAATTATCATCGGGGTGAGAATTGCTGAAATAGGAAAAATCTAAAATCACCTTTCACCTTGGTTACAGCTATATGAGTCACAACTGTCATCAATATACCATTAGTTTACACGAAAATCACGATATAAGTGAGTCAAGGTGGGCCAGAACATGATTCATCTTTCCATCAACTCCAAAACACTTCACGCTAGTTGATAAGGCCTTAAGCTTAATAAATTACTTTATGTCGGGTCCAGCATCACCACAGGATTCTTAGTTTTTTCTTTACCCCCTTTCATTTTGATTTACTAAATAATAATCAAATTTTATATAAAAAAATTCCATTAGTCACCCCCTCCACCCGCATTTTAATTATTTAAAGTAAACTGATCCCCGATATGCATACTTAGTTATAGAAGAATAATCAACCCCAGTAAATCAGATTCAACACCAGAAGATTCAATATTTTCCCATTCAAATATACCAAATAATTATAATATCAGCATTTGTACATAAAAGAAAATTCACTGAAACACGCTATTTTTTTCTTTTTAAAAAAATTAAATATAATAATCCCTCAATTTTCTCAGCCTACAATGTAGCAACTAACTCCTTGATACCAGATCCTCCCATCAGAAAGATTCTCAAAACAATGAGTAAGGGAGAAAGTAAGGCGCTGTTTGATCTGTTTTATTTTTTAATTTCATTTTTAACAACAAAATTTTACCTTTACTTTCGTTCTGTTTTCAAGTATGTAAATACTAAAAACATCTTTTACTGATTTAAGTGTTTCCTGTATGAATTTGAAAAAGAAAAACAAAATCTGATATCATACAGCCATGAGTAACACAGAAACCTCGTTTTGAACACAGGAAAACTGAAACTGAATAAGAAAAATCACAATGCAGGAAGAAAATTCTATTAACGAAGAAAACAGAGAAAAAGATATATACTTTGCAACAGCAGAGAGAACTTCGGCTTTGTCAATCTTGCCACCGAGATTGGATGCCAAATCCATAGCTGCAGCTTCAGGTGGCTTTGGAGGAACTGAAAACGACCTCGTTTGGATCGAAACAGAAGATTAATTTATTAACGTTAAACCATAAAGTAAAACAGAAAAGCGTGAGAATCGAAGAATGGGGATGGGGAAAGGGAAACGCAGGGAGGGAAAAGGGGAATTCACTCACGTGATGTTTGTGTGATACAGAGAAGAGAGGGAAAAGGGAGGCTTTCACGTAGCGATGAATGGGGAACTTAAAAGAATAAAGAGAGAGAGAAAAAGAGAAACTTTGCCAATTGAAAATGAATAAGTGGAATAAAAAACAGAGCATGTGGGAACGTCATGTGTCCGTTTGCGAGCGGGAAAAAACGAGCAGGACCACGTTGAGTTGGCAAGGGAATCCTAATCCAACACTTTTCCATTTTAGTATATACCATTTTATATTTAGTATACTTCTTCTTCTTCTTCTTTTTTTAAAAAACCATAACCACCATCATTTTACTCCTAATTTTAGAATATTTTACTTTCAATTTTCATTTTTAAAATTATGTTTATTTTACTTCTTTTTAATAAAAATGAATTATTTCTAAAATATTAAAAACTAAAGTAATTTTTTTATAAAATTTAATTGACAATAACTAAAATGAGTATTTATATTGTATCGTATTATTAAATTTGATTTAAATACATAATTTTTACATTTTCATTGTTATATAAGTTAAACTTATTAAGTTTTATAATATTTAATATAAAAATTATATTCACGGGGTATTTTAATTCACTGTTAATATAAAATATAAACAGTACATAAAATTTAAATTCTATTTTATTAAAATTATATTTTATTTATAACTTTTAATATATCAAATAATACATATAATAAATGATATAATACATGATAAAAATTTAATAAATGATATTTTATTAAAAATTATAATATTTAATATTATAAATATATTAAACATTTGATAATATTCTATAGTTTTTAATAAAATGTAATTGTATTTCCTTAAAATATAGCGCAGAAGAAAAGTACGTGATGAAAAAGATTTTATTCCGAACAAGATTTGAGATGTTTCATCACGTCAAGAAGACGACCTACAGTAACATAGTACAAGAAAGTCAAAAATAAAGAAAAAGACGTAATGGGGAAAGAAATGCCACAAACGAAGAAGCTGAGAAACATCAACAACAATTTAACAAATACTCTTAAAAGGACGATGTTGATGTACATGACGTTGAAAACATGCATATTGAAGAATAGCTAGCATCATACAAGGAATCTCCATTTAAGACTAGGGATGACTCCTAGGTTTCCCATTAGTTTATGTGAAAAGCAAGGAAACCCCAAAGGACAAATGGTATGGTATAGGGTGGAGAAAGAATTGAAGAATGAGACAGCATTCTATCCTTGCCTAGATATTTATTTTTATCCACAAGGAATAGAGGAATGGTCTAAACATTGCATTGGCAAGGTTCTTACTTCTTGTTCATGGAAAAGGGTCCTTGAGACCAAACTTTCCAGAAGTTGGGAGGGTCATAGAATGATATACATCATTGACCATGGATGGTGGCCGACCACTGTCTTATGGTACAATGATGGAGACCCCTTTTTTCTTTGCAACTGAATTTTTTCATTCGAAATTTGCCTTCTGAATTTTGCAACCCAAGATTTTTGTGGCATTTTAATATCTAAGAAAGATTGGGTCAATGCTTGAGGTTGTTAGGCGAGTTCATCATTCAAGGAGTAAATTCGCAAGAATTTGTATATACATAGATTTTGGCAAGAAACTGGTGCCAAAGATCATAATAGCAGGCCATGAATGAAATATTGAATATGAATGGCTTCACATGATCTCCTTCTAGAGTAAGTGTAGCCATCTCTCTTCAGTATTTGACACAACTATGGGATTCAAACTCTTTGAGACTTAAAATGGAATAACTTCTATCGATTGATCAATTCATTTGTCAATACTATACCTTTAAAAATTAATTATTAATAATGTTATTTTGAAGCATTTTATAAAATTGGGTGGTTTTATTAATTTCTGGTGGCTTGAGAAAGCCAGGAATTTTGTGGCACTTTTCTGTAACTTTGTTGCGGTGACAACCGGAAAATGGTACCAGAAACCTTCACTAGGGGATGCATTTTCGGGCAATGAAAAACCCCTACAATTATATTCAACACTCAACATTAATATAACCTTATTTTCATGCATTATACACACATGATTTAATTAAAATGATTTTTTATATGAAATTAAAAGTATATTATAGGATTACTTTAAAATTTTATAAATTTCAGAAAAGAAAATATTATGTTTATTGCTAATAAGTATTGTATTATATTAAATAAAGAAAATTTTTAATTTAAAATGATAAAAATAATCAAAATTTAAATAAATATTGAATTAATAAATGTATAAAAGTAAAAAATAATAATTAATTGGGCTTGCTTGACATTTTTTTAATTAAATATTAATTTTAATTTTAATTTTTTTCATAATTTTTAAAATTTAATATTTTCTTATTTAATTTTATTTAACATAATATACTATTTACTATAATAATCATGTTATATATATGTTTAGTTATGTATAAAAAAAATTATTTTATTTAATAATATGCATATTATACATAAAAATTGAGTTACATTATTGTTGAATAAAATTATGTCATTTAAAGTTATCAAAAAAATAAATTTTCAAAAGTAATTTTAAAATGCTAAGAAATACTTCGTAAAAAATTATTTGTATATTTTTAAAATACTAATTCGGTGGTTGTCACTGTTTCAAATTTAGAAAAAGAAAGGTTAGAATCTTTAAGGTATGATTGGTGGCTAAAAGTTTTTAATGAATTGGTGTAGACTATAATCAATTTTTTTTTTTTCTAATTGATATGCTTAAGTTCATTTGAAACTTACTATTAGAAAATACTATGACTGAAAATTAACAAATGGATGTCAAAACTATTTTCTTAAACAAAAACTTTTATGCGATTAAAGATTTTGACTTCATAAAAAATAAGAAGTAAACACAAATTTTGTGTAAATAATAAGGTTAGTTACAACACAATTATTTTTTTAGTATTGAATGTGAATAACATACTTATCATAAGAAATAATATCACTAGGGTAGTTAATAAGGACATAGTTAGGTAGTTATTTTTTTATGAAAGACTTGAACAAAGTGACCTATGTATTAGATATAAGGATTTATAAAGCTGGATCATGGAAATAACTTATAGCTTAAGTCAATGTACATTCATAGATATATCATATACTTTAAGCATGAAGTGTAGGTCCTAGTCTTATCATGATGAAAGTCATTGGGTTGTAGTTAAGAACATCCTTAAGTACTTGAAAACAATAAAGACTCATTCTTAGTATGCGGAACCTTATATGAGTTGGTTGTCAAATTTTACATTGATTCTAATTTACTAAGTTGATATAGGTAAAGTAAGACTTACGATCACAATTATGTAATATGTTTTGTTTAAATAGTAGTATTTTAAGCTATAAGAGTACCCCAAAAAAAAAAGTTGCTAGTTCAATAATAAACTCTCTTACGCAACAAAAGCATTTAGAACATGTTATCTCATTAGACATTATTGACTCTAGTACAAGTAGAAAATTGTTACATACTAAAAGCCTATATATTATGAACTATTATTCATATCATAATAATTTATTTTTTCAATATGAGGCATTTTACATTTATTATATCTTTTTAAGAATATAATAGTGTCCTTAAAGTAGTGAATATATCTTTGTATGGCATCAAGTAAATGATTTGATCATGAGAACTTTCTTATTCTTAAAACTTTTTAGTCAAGTATTAATATTAGGATTATATGCTATGTTGAGACTAGTGTGTGAGTAAATTAATGATCGGATTTCACATATCATAAATATGAGATATCAAGTTCTCATATCAATACATATTTAGAGTAATGACCCACTATATTAACCCATCATCAAAACATTATGTGGACCTTTGCATGAGTATCATAGATGGTTATCAATAAAATAATAATGTGTACGATCCTTTGACGTGAAATCACTACAATTCTGATGTAAAGAATTTTATGGTTTAATCTTATCAAATGTCACATATAACAAGTTGATTATAAAGTTGGAAGTTTGACAAAAAATAAATCATGTGGAAAGATGTAAGTGGTGTAGATAAAAATTTATCTCTTCTATGTAACAGGAGTAACATCTATAAGAATCTTAACAGAGTCAAACTTATGCATGGACTATACTTATTAAGATAAATATGAAATATTTATTTCGATAAAATCTCTTCAAATATCAATGAAGCAAATTAGATTTATAAGATTACATGTTTCGTATTTAGATAAATATATTTAAAGAAGGTCTAGTCTTATAATAAACTCTTATAATTTAAACAATATTAAAAACTAACAATGAGTGATTATCTAAATTTTAAAAATTTTAAAAAATATATTTTGAAAGAATCTTAAATATATTTTATTTTTTTATAAAAAAAATTATGTGTACATAACACTAATAACAATAAAATAAAAGCTAAGACAAAAGTTTTATTTTGACCTAAAAGATATTTTACAAAGATTTTATTCATAAAAGTAACAACAATAACAAAATATAAAGAGAAACTAGTAAACACAATATTTTGAATATTGACTTTTTATTAACCTATGTATTATTATTATTTAATTTTTTTTTATCTAAAATTAAGTCTAATACCCAAGAAACAACACCGCAACATGAATGCACATGAAAACAAAATGCACGTGAGTTAACTTCAGCCATTGAAAAACTAAAATAGATAAAAACACAACCATAATAATAATAAGAAGAAGAAGAAGCTACCCAAAAAGCCCAAAGCTAAAGATAATCTTAGAAAAAAAAAATTAGCATGCAATCAATGTTAGTGGCACTCCTACCTTTGATTTTCAGTATTTTATTATAAAAAAGAATATGACTATAAATAAGGAAAATTCGAAATATACATTAGAATTTTTATATTACGCTTATTTAAAAAAATAATTCTCGTACTTTTCAAATGTAAGTTGAATAAACATGTATTGTTTAAATTAACTTATTCATATATTTTACTCACATTAAACTTGGAAAAACAAAGCTTTAGGGAGAAAGATTGGGACGTAGCACTAGCATAAAAAATGATACTTAATCTACGGGTTTATTTACTTTTTTTAATATTTTTAAAATAATATTTTTTTAAATATATTTTATATTTGGAATCTTTTTATTATATTACTACTTGTTTCATTCATTGTATATA